TGCTCATTTATTCCCTCCTCAAGCTCCCCTGACATTACTTAAATGGCATCCTCCAGACGATGTGAGTAAAAGAGGGAATGCTGAACAGCAGGGTGAGGCTTTCAATTTGTCCCAGTTCTGGGCAGGGGATGATAAAATAGGGTCAAAATCCTGACTTAGGGTATGTAGGATAAGCGGCAGAGAATAGAATAAATTGATTTAAATGCAGGGAAAATAAAGTGCCGTGGTGCACTTAACTTCCCCATGACTAAACCTGACTTTCCAGCAGTGCAGAAAAAGGGTGAATCTGGGGAATGGCAGCTGTACTATGAGGGTCCACAGGCTTAGTATCCAGGGGAATGTAACTCCAGGACAAGGTGGCAAGATGTCCAGGCAGCAACAGAAGGCAAAGGAAATTGGGGAAATCAAACCCTTGCACTGATTTCTTAGTTACAGCCTAGAAAACTGAGTGAAGACAAACCATCCTAGTTTTGAGCTAGATCTCGGCTTTTAGAGATTAATGGAGGAAAAGAGTGGCTCCACCACAAGTCCACAGATAGAAAATCAGAAGTGCCAGTCTCCCACAAAAGGACTCTGTTCCTGCTTCACAGGCAGGTCCCCTTCCCTGTTTTTTCCACCGCCTTTGGCACCAGAGAAAAAGCCCCCTTGGCATCCCTGCAGAAGTGTGTGTCAACTTCAGCCCAGCCTGCACAGCTGAGCCTTTCTCACTAATCTCCCCACCAAAGCTTTGTGCCAAGACCCACACCCAGGGGTGACAAGAATTTTTCTTCTATGGCATTTGCAGGCCCCCTGGGTGAGATTAGTGACAGGACTCCTTTAATTTTTTTCCAGCAGTTGTGCATTAGGTAAAGGGCAGAAATCTGTTACGGGCACTCGCCCCATAACTGAGTGAAATATTCAGGTTTTGGTGCAATCCAGTCTGCCTCCCTCCCTGCATCCCATTCCTCCCCACCCCCTCACTGTCCCTGAGCTGTGTTGTTGGCCTCCCTTCAACATTTTAATGGAGTATTGACAGTGATCCATTCGCACTCCAAATAGATGAACCTGACTTGCATCCCCAGAACCGCATTTGCAGAGCCAGCCCAAGCAGGTGGGTTTGGAGCATCTCCTCAGATGTATCGGCTGCAGTTCCAAAAGCATCCCTTTTTCTGGTTCGAGGAACAGCTTGGAAAAGTCTGGCGAGGATATTACACTTTGGAAAACTGCTGCTTCTGGTCTCTTGTCCCTCCTCCTACCTGCTGCCAACTCCCTCGTCTCTGCAATTATTTATAAAGCTCTGTGTTCTTTCTTAATCAGGATGTTCCCTTTTGCCTTGCACGTCACTCCTGTGTCACTCTGCGTCTGGGCCTGTGGTGACCTCTTGGAGTGCTTGGCAAGGCTGGCAGCAGCCAAATGAGTCATCAACAACCTGCCTGCACCTACCTCCCTCTGGCCATTGCCCCCCTGGCTCCCACCGAGCCTGGTTGCAACTGGGGAGGCCTGGGGGAGTTTAAAGCTGTCTAATCCCCTGGATAATTCACGGAAAGAGGATTACCCATTCTGTGCAGAGCCCTTAACCTAAATATAGACCAGCCTTCCCCTTGCATTGCAGCTCCTGTGGCATGGAGACGTTTTCCCTGCACTGCTTTTCCATTCCATCTTAGGGGTTAACTCTGCTCTTGCTCAGAACTGGGACAACCTGGTTCTAACCTGTGGAGTTACAGTGCCATAAAACCAGGGTTAGTAAAGCAGAGGCAAGACTGTGCTCTTTGAACTCCATCAGGATCAATGCAGACTCATCCCCACAAGCACACTTTCTCCCTGATAAATGCCAAACTCCTTTGGGGGGGGGGGGTGTCAGGGAATATACTGTCTTACTGTGTATTTGGAAACCAGTGTCATGATCCTGAACTACAGAGCCTGACAGTAATGTATTGGGAGGACAGAAGGGAAGTGCTAAACTCAGATAATCCCACGGCAGGTTACAGCAGCACGCACGGGATTTGGGAATAGCAACCTGGCTCTGCTGCCCACCCTGGGGCTCTCCCAGCAGGACACCAGCAGCTGAGTTATTTCCACTGAGGGAGGGGACAGGTAATTACCAGAGAGCTGGTGAAGAGGGGAAGCAATAGTTAACATTAGGAACGTTTCCTTGCTTGCACTCCAAGACAGAGGGATAAAGTTGGGAGCTGCAGATGGTATTCCTGATGGATTCAGCAGCTTCCTGGGGGACCATGGGTCCATCTTCACCCTCCTCTCATTTTCCTTCTCCTCTCTGCCCCAGATGGTGAAGTGAGGTCTGACACAGCCACCACAGGCTTCCTTTTCCTACAGTGTCCTTTTTTTTGGCTGTTAAGTCCTTACGGGACTTTAGTCACCGTAACATTAAAGCATTCATTAGCACAGGAGTAATTCCATAATCTCCTCAGAAGAGAACAATTTCAGAGGTTCAGCTCATGATCTGGAAAATCAATTTGCTGGCTTGGCAATGCAGGAAAAGGATTTTCAAGGCTGGCTTTGGCTTCCCCAGCAGGACTGTTATCAGCTCTGGGACTTGGTGGCCAGGAAGGGGCCACCCACAACAGCTCTGGGGGGAGGAGGGAGGAACTGAGGGCTGTCATTTGGCTCAGGCAAAGAAGGGAGCTGGACTCATGCTGCACAAGTTACAGGATGAGCCTCAAACCCCAGACCTGCCTCACCAAGTTTTGCCCAAATGCGTGCTGTACGGGTGGGACAGCATCATCATGGATCATGGTGGATTTTCCAGCCTTTTTCGTCTCTCACACTGCATTTCACCAAAAGCAATGCTCCCAGCTCAGAGCAAGAAAGGGATGCATTTTCATCATTCTGCCTTTTCCCTGCAGGTACAGGCTGATCAATTCCTGTTTTGAAACCAAACTCCTGCACCCTCCGTACCAGCCCATGTGGCTCTTCTTCTCCTTGTGGGATTTTTCACACCTTTTTTGACTGTGCTGTCAGAAGCTGGGGCACACACCCTTTCTACAGACATGCAGTCAGATTTTCAGAAATCATCTGCAGGTGCAAGGCTGACTTTTGGGAAGCACCCAGCTGTGCACTTGCAGGTTCAGGGCTGCATCAGAACCTGAGTGGGCTCCCACCAGCAGCTCAGCTCCTTCAATCAGAAGTTGTCAGGTACCAGAGACTTTAATTTAAAGATGTTACAGAATATAAATGGGTTCAAATTGCTGCTTCACGGGACAGACCTCTCAGAAATGGACAAGCTGAAGTGAAATGCTGTCTCCTGTTTGCTGTTTTCTGTTTCTACCTTTGATGCTCCAGAAGGGTTCCCCCAGCACTCACATCATGCATTTGCAAAATTGGGTTAGGAAAACCTAAGGTATCATTGCAGATCTGATCTCCAGCTGAGTCCCCCTAATAATGGTAGACATGCCTTTCACAACAAAGCCACGAAGAGGGGAAATCCTGGGAGGTAATTAGGGTCTTATGGATCTCTTGAGACCCAGGGTCTCCCTGTAGGTGCTGCTACCTGTGGTAGCTCTCTTGCAGTGAAGGGAGATGTTCCCCTCCTCTTTCTGCTGGAGGATGGAAGAGAGCTTTTCCACTCTGAAGAACTAGAAAAAGCCTTGGATGCTGCCTCTGTTCCCACTCCTTTCTCCAGGTTATCCTGACCATGGACATCCCACTGCATGAAGTGTTTGGGTCCCATGTCATTCAAGGCAGAGGCACCAAGGTGTATTTCCAAATGTGCAGCAGAACATCTGGCTGGATGCCTGGGATGATCAGTGCAGCACTACTGTATATTCAATATCTGGCTAAGTAAGACAGAAAATTAACCCTTTTCCTCTCCCTTCCCCCAAATGATAACACCAGGGATACAGAGGAGACATGAAACAGCAATTTTCATGTCATGTCAGACACAAGATTTAGTCTCATCCTATCTGGAATTTCTACCCTGACTCCCAGTGGCTGGAGACCCCTTTAAGCTCTAGCATGTGCTTAGAAGTGCCTGACCTAAACACAGTGAGGGATCCCCCTCGGCTCACACAGAGCACTGCATGCTCCCCACCTACACATTATCATCAGCTGTTACTCTTTTTCCATTTTTTCCTGAGACGAGGTCATCCCTGACAAGTAATATCCTCGTGGAGCCAGTTCTTAGCAATTATTTTTAATGGAATCTTGGTGTTATGGATCATATTTCTGCAGTTTGACACATGTAATAAAATTTTTCCCTTGAACAACACTTGTCCTCTTCAAGAAAAATAGTCCCTGCAGAGATGTGTGCCTGGATGGGTTACAGGATGTGCAATGAGCATCCACACACATGCACGGGAACTTCTCGCCACAGAACCCGCATCCCGCGACAGCTCCCAAATCGCTGCTTACTCCCCGTGGCTTCATTTAACCCTTCCTAACAGAGGAGGTCGGAAAGAACTAACTGCAGTTTTTAGCTGTAGCTGCAATTAAGCTCTCCTGGAGGAGATGGTGAAGGGAGGACAATTACAGTGGGTGCGGTACCGGGGCCGGCGTGCGCGGGCACCGGCACACCCACACAGAGCCCTGGGGTGCCACCACCCACACAGTCCCACACAGCTCCATGCGGACACGACAGTCCCTGCCCCCAAGCAAACACCTTCTCCTTCTCCCTCCGAGTCCACCGCAAACTGAGCACACACTGGGAGCACTCTTAGAAATTGCTTCAGCCCAAGTTAAACTCAACAGCGCAGCAGCTCCTGGGTCCTGGCAGAGAGCGAGGGCAGCGTAACGGGGCTGGTTTAAATTACTCGCCCCCGACTGCTCCGACCCCTCCAGTCTCCTTATGCTAACGGGAGTCCCTGCAGTTCCCACCGATCCATCCCAACTCAGACACCGACTCTCCACCGCCCTTGAGCATCTTTGTTTTTAGTGGCACCTTTTGCTTTAGTTCCCTGCAGGGAGCTTTTCCCTGTCCCCCCCTCTCCCCCGAGCACCGAGCCCCCCACGGGCTGCCAGCTCTCACCCCTTTCTCCGCGAAGCAGAGGGGAGCGACGGGCTCTTACCTTGGGCACCCCAAGTTGTCGGCGGAGCGGCTGCCGGGGCGGCGCAGCGCGGCGAGCGGCGCAGCGCGGCTCTGCGCTGGCATCTCCCCTAGCAGTGATGCAGTCCTGCCAGGAGCCGCATGCCAATGATGCGGCCCAGGGGATCCCTGCCCAGGAACCCCAGCGCTGGGAGGGAGCCCGGGGCTGCGTGTCCTACCTATATCCACGCCGCCCCCGGCCCGGCTGCGGAGCGAAGGCGGAGGGAGCGTGCGGAGGCTGCCCAAGAGAAGGGGAGAGAGCGAGGAGCTGCACAGCAGGCAGGGAGAGAGGCGATGCTTGTGTAATTTCATCACGGTAATAAAATCCAACGCAGGGTCTAAATGTTGCAGCTCTCTAGCAGAGTTCTTCGTTACATGGGGGGATTTTTGTGTTTTGTTTTGTTTGGTTGGTTTTTTTTTTTCTAATTGCTGAAATGCAGGAACGTTTCTAGCTGTAAGCAGAAGGGAATCCCAGCATGACTGGGCATCCTTCCTCTCTCCACTTTATATATTGGACCATTGTTACATTTGAGACCCCTCTCCCCGGGATGGCTAAGGACAGGGTGTGTTTCAGGGATAATCCTGTTGTGGGAAAAGCCTGTTCTGTTTAAAATCCCCTTGTGTTTATAATTTGGGAGTCCTTTGCCAGAAGAGTAGCAGGAAATACCCTACTGTCCATGCAATTTCGTGCTTGTAAAAGACCATGTGGACAGAGCAGCATGGAACATGGAAATCCATCCACATAATTTTGTGTTATTAAAAGAGATAACCAGTAACATGAGGAGGTATCTTCCTGAAGAACAAAACATGCAGTTCCTAACCAACAAAGCCTTGTCAGTGCACATGGGGGGCATGTCTACACCCTGCAACGTCTCTCCATGCAGAGATGCCCAAATTAGTTCACATAATGAGAGCAATAAAGATTTTTCGCTGACGGATTTCCACTGTTGCGTCTCCTAAACTAAAACTGAGGAGAAGCATGGATCCACAGGCTTCTCAGAAGGGAATTGGGGATGGATTTACAAAGCAGCATGAATCCCTTGTACCTGAGGAAAGAAGTAGAACTGAAAGCCCAGACGACCATGCTGGTTCTGTCAGCAGGTGACCCCTACAAAGATACTTTCCCACTCAGTGCCTCAGTTTCCCCACCTGTAAGACAGCACTGGCACTACTGGCCCCTCCAGGCTGTATGAGCACTAGATGTTACTCCTCTGGCTGTTTCCAAGGTCCCTCCAGACTTTGGAATACTTTGATTTTCTTCCCTGTCCTGTATTTTACAACCTGCTCCCTCTCAGCTCACCTGATCTGAATCTCCAACTCAGGTGTGCTTGTGTTTGTAATTATTGACAATATTCCAAATTGGGCCTGTAAATTCTCTCTTTTGTCCAATGGCTTACTGATGCAGTTCCTGTGACTGCACTGGTGGCATCATTTCCATATAGAAAATGCAGTAGGTGATTAATTCAGTTTTTTTTTTTTTTAACACCCACTCATTTAAAAATTGGAACTTAAATCTAAAGTTCAGCTTTATTCTCCCTCGCACAATACATTAGCTAAATTGCATTTTGTGTTTGGTACAGTGCACTGATTGCTTTGATGTGGGAGCACTCAGAAGTCAAATTACTACCAGCACTCCTGTATGCTACGGGCCAAGTATCAGGGCCTTGGCAAAGCTAAAAAGAGCCAGTCTATCACCGTGGCACTGAGCACTTCTTGCTTGCCTGTCACCATTCCTCTGAGTCCTCCAGCTCATTAATACTTCACATTCTTCTAATCACGGGAGCTCTGTTTGCAGGTTTCAGATCTGTGCGTGGGTCACGCTCAGGAATCACATCACTGTTCATGCTGTGCTCCCCTGGAGATGGCTTGGGGCACTCCTGGAGATGCTCTCCCAGCTCCATTCCAGTTGCTGTTGGAAAAAGGCTGCTCTGCTTCATGTCACCTTCCACTGGCAGGAGGGATTGGCAGCAAGGAAAGATGTGGCAGGTTGGCCAAATGAGCACCCCAGTGTCCCTGCTGGGCTTTTCTCAGTTCCCAGAAAAGTCCCTGCATCTACTTTGCTTACTGCTTCCCACGCAGGGTAGATCCAGTCTGGTTAAATCTGTACTAAACCTCATAGCAGAATGAACAGAGAGGGAGGCAACAAATCTGGGAGGCATTCCTTACCATTGCATTGTGATTATCAGTGTTTCTAATTAGCTCTGTTCCCTGCTGTGCTTCTCTCTGTTAATCACTGCTGCCTGTATCCAGGTATCTCAGCCAGGAGAGCCATTTTCCGTAGTGCCATATGGTGCCGGCGGGGAACCTGAGCCTCACGGGCTGCCTGACATCCAAGGCAGTGGGATGGGGAAGGATAACATCCTCCTGTTCATAAGAGCACATTAATGAAATCTGCAGCAATCCAACTGTTTCAGAGCTGCAAGAAGTAAATGGAAAACAAAGCAGAGCTGCAATGAATAAGGAACTGTCATGGAGATGGATAAAATTACGTAAGCTCTGACATCCCAGGGAAATAGGTGTCTGTGTAAAGGCTGATCATGCAGGTGTAGTTATCAACGTGGTTCCACAGGCAAAGAGGGCTTCATCTAACCCTGTAGCTCACTGAGCAGCCCCAGACCTCCTGGGGAACAGGGTGGGATGGGAGATCTGGCCAGTCCACATGGGTGGAGCAGAGCCCCACAGCCATTATCAAGACATTTTCCTTTTCTTATCTCACCTACAGCATCAGGGGGTTCTCATTTGCCTCCTTGCATGAACAAGACACCAGGGACTCTTGCACTGAGGTGCACACCGGGGTGCACCGGGGTATCCTCCTTCATGAGTGCTCAGATGGTGTGGGGAGAGTATACAAGGGAAACTGAAACAAAAGAAGTTAAGTGGTGATGGAGCAGCTTCTCCAGTGGCTCACAGGCTGTCAAGTGAAAGGGAGATAATCACAGAAATGTATGACTCTAAAACCACACAAACCATGCATTTTTCATTGCTCTGCCAGAGCCATTGCTTACACACCAGGGCACTTGCTGTGACAGGCACTTCGTATCACAGGGTGCTGAGCAAACTGTGCATGGGCAGGGCAGAGCTTTTTGGCTGGTTTTCAGGGCCCCATCCACACAAAGGCACTCACACATGTGCAGGGGGGCACACACTCACATGCACAGAGAATGCCCTCTGTGCCCTGAGCCCTCTTGCATGGCCTGCACGAGGAGCCGCAGCAGGAGGTGGCCCTGGAGGTGTCCTTGTCCAAACAGGAGCCACAAGAAACCAGCTTACATGTCGAGCAGGGGTTAAACAAGTCCAAGGGATGTAATGGAAAATCTTTGAGCTGACGGGCTTTGAGGCTGGGGGCTGCAAGGTGGTGGCGGGAGGGGCTGGGCACTGCCACCTCTCCAAGGTGTGCAGTGATAGCAGGCTGGTGGCTGCTGCTCTCCACTGGTGACAGCCATCCAGCCAGAGACAGCCCTTAGCTCCCCCTCCCTCCACCAGTTCTGCTAATGAAACTTTGCTTACAAAAGCCAGAATCAGGCCTTAGTAGAAGGGAGAATCACAGGAAATGTTTTATGGCACCTGCTATGACACCTGATAAGCAGGATTAGTAATGCAGATAACAAATACAATGTAAAGAGCTATACAGGCATTAAGTCTAATCACTGGTATTGCTGCCTGCTTGCTGGCAGACAGAGTATAATGCATATGGAATCAATCTGGCTATCAATAAAATAACTGTCCTCCATGCTGCAGGTCTCACTGTAAAGGGGTAGCACTGCCAAGACCCACAAACAAATTAGGAGGAGAGAGCACCCAGCAAAGGGGGAGAGCCAAGCAATGCTGCATTTCCTCCCACCCAGAAAGGGACAGGGCTGCTGCCTCGTCTGGGGAAATGGACAGCCTAAACATGAGAAGAAAAGGGCTTTACATTGAATACAGTGCAGTGTGAAATCACACTAAAGTCAGGGTTTGGATCTGTGAAAGCATTCCTTGCACACAGTTTAGATGGGATTATGTGGATATATACATAAACACATATACCTACTGGATGGGCCAGGCTGTTCAGTGCTGCTCAGGAGCAGAAGACCTTTGCTGGGTGCTGTAATACCTGCAGCATGAGCCTTGCCACCCACATTACCAGCACCAGAAGAAATGAATTACTGACGCAAGGAGAAACGGGGGCAAACATCTCATTGCATCTCATATTTTCCTCTGAAATTCTGAGCTCATCTGACTAAGGCTCTGTTTTCACAAAGCATAATAATACTTTTTTCACCTGAAATTAGCCTGTCACTTTCTTCTTGACACAAGCTCCTGATTATTGTGGCAAGCCAAATGGCAGCACGTCCAGAAGCTTGTGGAGGACAAGGAAATCCCAGCACTACCTGTGCTGCTGAATGTCAGCCCCATTCCCTTTCCAGAAAGGTGATTCATGAGCATACAGGCTGCACTTGTGCCCTCCAAGCCAAAGGGGCTCCTGAACTATGTAAAACCCACACAACAGCACTGATGCTGACATTTCAGGGCAAAAGTGCACAGTCACTGTGGCAATATCAACTTACTTGAGCTGGAAAGGTGAGCTGGAGAGGCTGTACCACACTAGAAAAATAGAAGACTGACCTAACAATAAGTATTTTGCTGAAAACTATTTGTGTCATAAAAGCTTCACTTTCAAAAAGAGCCACTGCTCACAAAAGGTGCCACCGGCACATGCTGTGACAGGCCAGGAGATGTCAGCCCATGCCCTTCAGCAGCAACATGGCCTGGAAGTGTTTGAATGTAAAGAGATGAGGGTGCTTAAATTTCTCTAATCCAGCAGAAACCATTCTGTAAGACAGGTCTGAGTGGAAAAACACAGGGACCTTGGTAGGTCTTGGTTTGAGGGCCAAGCTAATGAGCACTGCAGGACCTGTGCTGACAGCATTGGACTCACTGAAGAGTGGTGATGTCACTGTCTCATGAAAGGCTCTGCTGAAGGCAATGCATCACCTAACAGTTGCATCCTCCAGGATCACCTTAAACACTACATTTTTTCTTTCCGCCCCCTTCTTTCCTCTTTCTCTAATTGTTCTGCTAGTCTAGGTTAAAAATCCCAAGTGCAAGTGCTGTGATCCATTAAAGAGCGATTCACGCCATCTCTTTTCATCTGTTTTCATCTTTCAAAATGAA